TTTTTTTTTTTTTTGGTTTAAAAAGTCAGGCCACGATTTTTTAGTAGCTACCGCACTTAGTGAGTGCCGATTGCTAAGCTCACTTATTTCAAGTTAATGAACAACATAGTTGGCCTTATGAGTCACATGTTAGAAATAAATGCATCCCACTTAAAATTACATGATAATGGTTAGGTTCTAAGTTTCATATTTTCTAAATAAAAAGCAATAAATCTACATATCATGCATTCCATAGGACTTGACTTTAATGTTTTAAGAAAATAAGTGGGTTTAGCAATCGATCTTTTCCAAGCACTATTAGTGTTTGGTCTATATTATAGACTTGGGTAGGATTGAGAATTATAGATATTATGCATTTCTATTACAATTAGGTTCAATTTATTATTTTGATTGTTACTTTCACCTTAATTTTAGGATAGGAGACTAATGTGTGTAAAATGTATGATATATTTCCTGTGATTTCCGTTATTTTTCTCAATATTTGTATTTTCTAGGTTATTTTTGTGTATATTTACAGGTTACATGTCAATAAACCAAGAAGTGTGGTGCCACTGTTGGGCGCTAGGGTGCCTCTTTTAGGAGCAAAAAGTAGAGCAGATGCAATTATGGTGCCATTGTCGCCTCTGTCAAACCCAGGATCTACTCTTAAACTAATATGTTGGAAGTTCGGCATTTGTATATGGCTCCATGGCACCACTACAAGAAGTTTAGTGCCACCTAACACCTCACATGTTTGGATTGTGGAGAGAATAACATAGGGCAGGGAAAATTGGTGCTAGTCTTGGGAAACCTGGCGCCTTTCCAGAACATGAGAAGACATAACGGATAGGAATCTAGCTCTCCAAGGAAGAAGTACAAAGTCGACAAACCGACAATGGGTAGTTAGAGTGGTTTATATTTGTGTCCCATCATCGAGACTTACAGAGAAGAATTTTTGTATTTGAGAAAACCTCCCCTTAAAAAATTGAAGTCCGGAGTTTTGAGTGCGAGCAAAGGAGACTTTTGAGGGGATTGTAAGGGAGCGTGCGAGGAATTGTGAGAGTGATATGTGTCAGATATGTGTGTTATTTTTATTAAACTTTTATCTATATTTATGTATTTTTATGATTTTCGTGGTAATTGTGATATATATTGCAAGATTGAGGTTAGAAGATTTATTAAAGTTCAATAAGTAAGGAATTCAACAAAGTAGAGGGGCAGTTCCTAGGCGTCGGAGTAGAGCACTTCGACACCTAAAAAGCAAGAATCAATTGAGAGTCTAGAGAGGGCAGAAGTACGTGTTAAGCTGGTGGTGTCAAGGCATCACGACCTAAGTGCCTAGGCACTCAATGCTGGTGCCTAAGTGACAAAATAACCCTTACACCAAGACCCGAGCAAGTAGAAAAGTATGCGTAAGAACGCCATTGCTCAAACACTAAGTAACAGAGCCCAGAGATCGCATATAAGCACTTCAGGTGCCAATTCACATGTTTTCATGGTTTGAGCAATTCGCTGGCATTGATTCACAATGAAAAGCATAATAATCTTTGTCTAATGCAAAATGAGTTATTATGAGGGTAGAAAGGGGAAGAGGAAGAGCGTAGAGATAATTGAAGATTGATGACAGAGAGAAGTAGAATACTCTATAGAAGTTAGGTCATTTTAAGGGAAGAATCCAGAGGAGTGTCGTGAGTGTGAGTGAATGTTCTCCCGAGAGAACAAGTGTAAGTGTGTGTGCATATCTATTTATGTACTCCAAATGGTGTAAAACTTAAGGATTTTGTTGTAATTTCATGAGAATCAGTGGAAAAATCGGTGAGATCGTTCTAACTTTTTAATATTTGATTTTGTAATGAAATTTATTTTGTTTCATCTATAATGAGTAAGACTTGAACGTTTCTCTCCCTTGAATTGAATTTTATGCAAGTTGGTGAAATCTTTGTTATATGATTGTGTGTAACTTGATTATAAGTTGATAGTTTAAGCATTTGAATTTAATTTACTCCTAAACTAGCCACTTAAGAAGTTAAAATATGTTGTGATCTAATATTATGGGATTTGCTAGTATAATAGTTATGTTAACCTACACTATTCTAAGAGAATAGAAATATTGTTGTTAGGTTAGTGCAATCATTAGGAAAATTTGCGAACACGAGGGTTTTTGCATTATTAGGAGACTAATTGCAATATAAAACATTAATTTGTTTATAATCATCAAGAGGGTCTTAGAAAAATTATTTGTGATTTTCAATCTCATTAAAGTCATTTAGATTGGTGTATTTTGCATAGGAGCAATCAAGCATAAACTTTCTTTTACTTGTTCTAGCTCAAAACTAGTTATTGGTTTTAATATTAACAAAAATTAGGATTAGAAACTCTAACCTCACCAAATTTTGAACCTTCAAGCTAGACTCAAGGCAAGTAAATTATAATTTTCAAAACTTTGGGAGTTCACTCGTTCATTGTGAGATCGATATACAAACTCAGTTTAATATACTATCTGGACGACACATATACTTTTGTGTATCGCTGGTGCTTCATAACATTTTAATCATATTAAAGGGACACTATGTGATAAAGTTCCCCTATAATTTGTATGTGTTACTCGGTAATTATTGTGGAGAAGTAAAGAAGTACAATGGTAGCATTTCAATGATAATATTATATCCGGTTCAAAGATTAAACTCTTGTATTTAATTTATTTTGATGAATGAAATATTATTTTAGTTGTTTCAAAGCATGAGTAGCACTTGATCTTATTTTCTTCTTTGAATTAGTAATTTTAAAATATAGAGTTCAACTTTGTTATGTGATTAAATGAATCTTACGCCAAGTTGATGCTTTAACTTTCTGGTTTTTATTTACCTTTAATTTGGCCAGTTTATTTGTTAAAACTTATTGTGAGTTATATGTTTCGGAAGAAAATTTCTTGAAATAATTAGGTTAAAGCACCTTGACTTAGAAAAATATGGATATTGTTGCTAGGTTAGTGCAATTGAGAAGAAAAATATGGAACTTAGGAAATTTTACATGGTCTAGGGAACTAAACTGCAATATGAATTCTCAAACTTTCTTATGAACATCAGAAGGGGCTAAGTAGGAAATCTACTCTTGATAGTTACTTATAATGATATCACTTGATTAAACCTAGATTTCTAGGATTCAATTCAGAGAAGAATATTTCATTTGATATAAACCCTTACTATCTTTACTTATGTTTTTATTTTTGTAATTTTTAAACCTCCAAGATTTGAACACTTTAGGTGAGAGTCAAGGCCAATAGACTTGAACTTTTCATGTTTTGGAAGTTAACTCATTTCTCGTGTGATTGATACGCGGATTTAAATCCATATATTACTTGAATGACACATATATCTGTATGATTGTAGCATGGTTCATAGCAATTCAGGCATCATAGATTTACAGGTTCTCATTTGTTTTTGCTATAGGCCCTCAATTTCACTAACATTATATTGATAAAATATAAGACCAAAAGTTTAAATGAAATGAAAAACTAAATAAATAAAATCTCAATCTCAACTTTATAGCTTAACATTAGATAACACAAAGTATTTCAAGTTTTTTAGCATTAAATGATCATTACTCATCTCAATTTGACACCTCAGTAATAATCAGCACATACATCAACTTTGTGAAAAACATTGCAAAAAAAAAAATGTTTTGATTGTAACCAAGCATGCAAACCAATAACTATGCATTCTCTACCAAATTTTAAAGACATCTACTAGGAAAAAAATAAAAATATAAATCAAATTTATTTTTTTCATTAAACATTGTTTCACATCTTCCTCAACCAAATGGGGTGAAGAGGAAATTTGGAATGACTTAAGAGCATTCTCCCAACATGTCTTTCTCCATATTCCTCCTCCCACCCACATCACAATATTTCAACTTTGTATTGCTCTTCATATCCATACATGTAAATTAAATACAATCTGATTCCAATTTATTGAAATAACAGTAATTCTAATAATGATAGAACACATGGCCATCAATGGAAATTATGGTGATCATCCCATGCCCAAAAGCTATTTTGTTCTTCCACACCACACACAAAATTGCCAAAGCTCTCTTCTGAAAACTCAGGTCTTGAAGCTCCATGCAAGAACTGGCCGGAGATCGCCGGCGGAAGCTGCCGGATCACCGGAAAAAGCGATATGCTATGCATGTCGGGATTCAACTGTTCTGCAAATGTTCCTGAGATATCCAGATTTATCTCTGCACAACAATCACTTCTATTGCTGCAACATCCTTCAGTTTCCTTATTCAGATTCATCACTTCTGATCCTTTAAGTTTCAGAATCTGCAACTTTTAACAACTTTTAATATCATTTTTTGATAAAATAAACATGCAAATTTGATGAGAATCGATAATCTGAAATGAGAAATTGAGACAAAACGTTAATCGGCAATAAGTAATGTGGTGGCGGTGTAGTGTTGCACTGTATTTTTTCTGTTTGACAAAACTGACTGCAGCTGCCACCGGATTGACTAGTGGGCAGTTGTTAGAAAGTCATACTCTGACTTTTTTAAAAAAAAATTGTAATTGCTAAGGCAACTTTCTGATCAGTAGTTTCACAACTACTTCGTCGAACAACTGCAGTCGCCCCGATCAGACCCGAAAAAGTGAAAAAATAATTTTTTTTTAGATATCTACCTCAGATTGGAGTTTCTTATTCTGAAACTGGAGAGAATCATTATCAGCTTTAACAACATCAAATTTTCTCTTGAGTAAATCATAATCCTTCTCAAGCTGCTTCGTCTTCCACCTCGCTCTTCTGTTCTGAAACCATATTGCAATTTGTCTTGGCTGAAGGCCAAGAGTTCTGGCCAGCTGAATCCTCCTCTCAGGCTCTAACTTGTTCCCAAGCTCAAAGTTCTTCTCAAGAGCTCTAACTTGCTCCAAGTTTAATCTTTTCTTCTTCTCCCCCGGCTGCGAGCTTTCGTCGGAGAGCTCCTCTTCCCCTTCGACATTGCCGGAGAAGGAAGCCGATGGCCTTCTCTCCATTATCCCCACCATCCCTGCAACACAACAATGGATTAAAAAAGGTGAAGGAAGATGATATCAAGTTTTATTTTTTGTTGAAGTTAGAATCACCTCTAGTGAGGGTATTCGGATTGGAAGAAGGGAAGAGGGCATTAATGGAGTTCATGGAGGGGATTTGTTCTTCATCTATTGAGAGAAACAGGTTAGGTTGGAAGAAAGGGGAGGATGGGATGCCACTGGAGAAGGAAGCCATGTTCTTATCAAGAGGGATGGAGGGGGAAGGGAAAGGGAAAAGGGAGTTGGGGAAAGAGAGAGGGTGAGATGGAGGGATTTAAAAGTGGAGTGGGAGATAAAAGATTGGCTTAAAAGTGGTGTGGATATAAGTGGTGTGAATATGTTGAGTCAGTTATAGTTGCCTCTTGTTTGAGGAGGGTCTTTGATTAATTAACTTAATTAACTTAGGGTCGGTTTGGGACATATGCAATTTATTAAAAAACTACTTAAAAATAATATGATATTTAAAATATTGTGATGGTTATTATAATTTTTTTTAAAATAAAATACCACATCTAACCGGGGCCACTTGGAAAGCGTAAGTTTCAACGACAACTTTTAAAAAAAGCTGTCAAAACACTGTTTACATAAACAGATAAAACTGTCGCCCCAAACGAACACTTAGTTTTATTTTGAAAAATAAGTTGTTATGCAAATATTGTACAACAATGTTGTATAAGGAATCTGGATGCATAAAAGCTCAAGTTCAGTTCTACAAGTTTGAGTTAGATTAATTCCCAAGTTTAATATATATATATATATATATATATCTTAATATGTACCTCTTAATTCCTATGTATATACATATTTATCATCTAAATTGAGATAAGGCCAGAGAGATTCTTTAAAATATGCAACATAAAATATTTGAATTTTCATACGCTTTTAATATTATTTAAATAAGCTGAATCAAATTTGATTTACAACTTTATACATATTTTGTTTTTCAGGTCGTCATCATAGCTCTGTTTGGGACACTACTTTTTCTTGCTGCTTTCTAGAAATTTTTATGAAAGGAAGCTATTTTTCTCAACTAACTTATTAAAGCTTAGTGGCTCTAAGAAAGTTATTATTTAATTTTTTGAAAAACATATATATTTATAACTCTCATATAAACTTTCTAAGAAATTGTTTCTCTTCCATAACTTTACAACCATTTCAGTCATCCCAAATAGAAGAAAATATTTTGTCTGTACACCGTACATCGGGACGGCCAACCACTAGGCGCTACACCGCCATACATCTCATCGACGAATAATGTGGTACCTGATGTTTGGCTGTCCGGATGCAGACGACCGAATGAAATATTTTTTCCCCAAATACACCCTTATTTACCTCGTCGAATTACGCTCATGATCTATATTATCCCATTAAAATTGAGCTTAACTCATCAGTCAACTTGTAAATATCTAAAGATTAGGGGGCTTAAGGTCTTGGGAAAAGAATTAGATGAAGTTATGCATGTGAAAATTTGTATTGGGCCTGTTTGGGACAGTTGCAGCTTATTAATTAGCTGTTGCTAAGTTGTTGAAGAATAATTTGCTGATCAAAAAGCTACAATGACTATTATAACTTTTTTTTAAAAGTCAAACCGCAATTAAAAAGCTAACACCGCATCTAGCCAGGAAAGGTGGGGAAATACTTATTTTAGTGGCTTGAAAACACAACTTTTTGAATAAGCTGCCAAAATACAGTTTACAAAAACGGTCCTAGATGTATTTTCAAAACACACCGCACTAAATAAGCTACTCCATACGGGGCCTACATTACAGAGCAGTTGTGCAAAAGAAATTCATTTCTGTTGTAATTAGGACAAATGAACATGTTTAACTCACTTGAGGATGCCGAATTGACATATATATATATATATATATCTACAGGGTTATTATCAAAAGAATAATAGAAGATTAGTAAATTAGTAAATATATAGACATTACTAATAATTTAATTTTATGATTGGTGGCCACTTTATTATTTTTATAAATAAAGGAAAAATGTAGTGCAGTTATAAAAATCGTATAGGGATGAACATTCTGCAATGTTACATAGCAACATTATGATTAATTAATAATGGACCCTATGTTTAGGCTGTGAGTGAAGTACAATTATGAGGAGCTTGATTAATGAATGCAAGATATTCTGGTTATTCTCTTGGTTCTAACCCTGACATATATAATAAAGTGTCAAAATAGTCCTTGACTTGTATAGGGATTGTCTCAATCTTAGAGTTTATAAAAGTGTCAAAAATGTCCTTCAACAGTTTACGTGGGATTATTTTAGTCTTAGAGTTTATGAAAGTGTCAAAATAGTCTCCGACTATTGTAGAACTGAGCTTTAATAATCTTCAATGAGGACTATTTTAGCCTCAATTTATTATATGTTTTGGGCAGTTGCAGCTATTTGAAGAAGCAGTTGTTAAGCTGCTAAAAAAGAAGCTGTGTTCAAAAAGTTAAGGTGACTATTATAAAATGTTTTTTTTTTTTGGGAAAAGTCTGACAATTGTTTTCTAACAGCCACCACAGATAGTCAGATCTGATAGGAAAGGAAAACATAGCTTTCAGCTACAATTTTTTAAAACGCAAGCACTAAATTGAAAAAACTGCGTTGTGACACTACACCGCCATAACGCTGCCCCAAACGCACCCTTAAATAATCGGGGGCTATTTTAGCACTTCTATAAATTCTATAACTTAAATAACCCTAAGAGTATTATTTTAGTATTTTATTCTATATATAGAGTAAAGTGTATGTATGACTAAAGCGTATAAATAGTTCCTGATTATTTACTTGGGTCGTTTTAGCCTCAGAGCTTATATAAATATGAAAATAATCCCAACTATTTTAAAATTGAGCTTTAATAGTCTTCATGTGGATTATTTCAGCCCCAATGTAATAATCATGGTTGTTTTGATTCTTCTATTACCCCCCACATAAATAATCATGACTATTTTAACGCACTACTCTATAATTATGTATTCAAAAGTAACAAACCAAGCATATATATGAATTTATCTTCTCCATTTTTAGTATTTTTGCATTGATTTTATGATAATTTTTATTTTATAAAATAAAACTACTCTATTTTATTTCATATTCTATCTCATACATTCATAAAGATAAAAAGAAATTGTCCATACAAAATGATAAGTATTTTCCATATAAATCAAATAATTATTTTATTAAATCAAAACTTAAATAATAAAAAATCAAAATCAAACGTCAGAAGTGAATAAGGGTCTATGTCTTATGGGTCTGTTTGGGGCAGCTGCAGCTTATTGAATAATCTGCTGATAAGCTAGGTGCGGTGGTTATTAGAAATTTTTATTTTTTTGGAAAATTTAGACTACTGTCAGGAGGCTCACACTGCACCTATGTGTGAAAACGACGCTTTTAGCGTTTTCAAACCAGGCAGACTACTGCCAGGAGGCTGCCACTGCACCTAGATAGGTGCAGTGTGAAAACGACGCTTTTAGCGTTTTCAAACCAGGTGCTTTTTTAAAAAGCCACCGCACCAAATAAGCTGCCCCAAATGGATACTTAGTGAGAGAAAAAAAATGTGAGTTTTAGTGTGTGTGTGTGTGTGTGTGAGAGAGAGAGAGAGAGAGAGAGAGAGAGAGAGAGAGAGTTGGGGAAGGAATCCAAGGGACCGGATGGGTCCTGAAAATAGCAGAGGTTGCTACCTAACACACAAACAAGGCATCATGCATCTGCTTCCCTTGATATCTCAGACATCACCCTCAGTACGCCAAATGAGGAGCACTGTAGCCCTAACCCTAACCCTAAAAGTCATCACTAACGCCAACTCTGAAACTGGGCAGTATAGTTTCTTTTGTCTTCATGTTCTTCTCAGATGCGGCCTAGCTATCTCCCACCATTTTTATTTTTTTTTTCATTTCATGTCCAAGCTTTTGGCATAATTACACATCCAACCTCCCAAACATTGTTATTTAAATGAAAAATATGGGTTGGGCTTTTATCACAAATTTCTATATTTGAGTTAGATTTTGAAAAATGGATGAAAGTGAGTGCTAGATTTAATAAGATATTTTAATATCTTGTGATTTATATTTATAGATTCATAATATGGAGATAAATACGAAGAACCATGAATACAATATGATACACATTTGGCACTAAAAATTTAAGAGACCTTTTTTTAATAGATATGATATAGAAAGGATTATTGGAAGTAATGAAACTAATATATATGTATATATATATATAAATATATGAAAAGAATATTCAGAGGCTATTATATAAGCCCTTAGCCACCCTCATGTACATAACTATTCTAAGACTGCCCTTACTACGGGCAAACAGGCCAGAGGGGGTTTCAAAACCGTGACCTAAGAGGACTTACGACCTTTTAAGAGGCTGCTCTGCCAACATGTCACGGCTGGCGACAAAACTAAATATGAATCTTTTATACCAAAGATATATCATATTCAAGTATTATCTATTTCATATCACAATCTATTTTTGAAAAAAATATATATTTTCAAATAATTTCTAAAATAAAAAAAACATTTTTTTTTAAAATAAAATTAATCCTTTTTTTAGAATTAATTATGCCGTTTATGAAACGCAAATTAAAAGAAGAGGAGCGTAATTTTCCCATTAACATGCATGCATGCTATCTAACGTACGTAGAGACTAGAGAAGGATATTTGCTATTTTTATGCAGGCAAAGGGATCTTATAAGACCATGATAATTTGAATGCAACATGCAAATATACAGATATTTCTGCAATAGAATTAATGACATTTGTTGCAAATTCGCTTTCAGTTAAAAGGTTCAAATTGCAAAAAAATAAAGTATTGAAACCAAGGACTCCGAGAGAGATGAAGATGGAGAAGGAAGAATCCAAAGGGAGGCATGGATGGAAGACAAAATAGGGTGCTAAGTCATTGTTACATTCTCCTCCAATGCTTTTTTGAAATTTTCTTAATTAAACTATTTTTTTATTTATGTAAATTGTCTCACCTCCTTAAAGCTGTTTGGTTGTGAGCAAATTTAATGAGCTAGCCATATTTATAAAGAAGAAGATTTCACAACAGTGATGCATATCTTGCATGCCCTCAAGTGTGTGTGTATGTATGTATATAGTGGTGCTCGGGCTCTGATCATGGGACCAAAAAATGCATGAGAAATTGATATTTGGGTCTTTGTTAGTATCGATTTCCTTTTAAATATATAAGGCATGAGGCTACGATATGAGCCCCCAGCTACCCTCATGTGTCTAATCACTCGATATCCAGTTACTAGACAGATGCACTCAAGCGGGCTCGAATCTGTGA